TGTGGCTGGCCATGTGTTATGACTTCCTCCTAACAGTTCCCCTTTCCTGCCCCCACCTCCCAGAGAGGAGTTGAACTGTCAGCTCTCTAAATAGGCCCCAGCTGGCTCCCTGCCCTTCCAACCCCGCCTACCTTCCCTCCCCTCCCTCTCCATCTGGGTCCTGACCCCACACAGCACTGACTGACCGGCTGAGAGGGAGCACAGGACCGCCCCCCCCAACACATACACACACCTCCCAGACACAGAGTAGCAAACGAGTATAGAGGGGGCCACAGGGGCCCCTGCACAGAGGCTAGTCAGTCCCCCAGGGCCTGGGCACCTTGAACACAAGACCTGGTATGACATCTGGAGATGGCACAAACCAGACCATGATGAGATGCCTCCCCTCACAGTAAGAATTGAAATCCTCACACCACCCTCTGTCAGGATCTGCCCTGGGGAATCACCTCCCTCCCTCCCTGGGATTGTGGGTGGCTGGCCCTCCCTGTGCAAAGACCTCCCCCTCTACCCCCCCCCCCACGTCCCTGGGCAGAGCATTTGCCTGGAGGACAGATATGTTTTCAGTTCCCAAATCCCTACCAGCCTTGCTCTTAACACCCAAATTAACTTTTAATTTCATTCATTTTTATTTCAAGTAAAGGTGATTGTGCAAATGTTCATGCAAGGCACTCGAGGGGAGGTAGCTGGGGGGAGGTAGCTGGGCGGGGGGGAGGTAGCTGAGCGGGGTTGTACCGGCAGCACTGTGGCTCTGGCTCCAAACTCTGGGGCTTCAGCATCTCAGCCCAGCTGTGCCTCATCCCGAGCTCAAAGCTCCGTGTGTGTCCCCTGAATTCCTGCACATGCTAGCCCCCCACCCCCAGCTCTAACACCACACGACAGCCTTGCCCTGCGCATGCCTGAACCTTGGACATAAATGCGATCTCGAAGTAAAATTAGCCCTGGTGAAATAGCATGGCTTCCCCTCTACAAAGCCTCGACAGAGTGACCACGGCAGCCATTTTGGAGACACAGAATTAAATGTACATCATGTAAATCAATACAAAGGAAATCATAAGTAAAAGGCTAGGGTACTTTTGCAGATCACATTGTGCAAGAAAACTTTGCATGGAAGCCCGGGACCACCCAGAGATGCAGACTAGCTCGGCTTCCCAGGGGCTGTGAAGATGGGATTACAGTTTGGCCTGTTTTCCTCCAGGGCTCCTGGACCGCAGAAGGAGGACACGCAGCATTCTAAGCATTCAGTTCAGCTCCTGGGAGCACAGCGCTGGGAACTCGCTCCCCAGCTCCTGGTCCTCTCTGCTCCCTGTTGGTGTGGGTTTAGATGCCCTAATCCCTGGTAGATGGAGGGGGTGGGGGGGGCAGAGTGAGCTCAGCGCACTTAGAATCAGTGCACAGTGTCCTCAGAGCCTGCCCTTCCTCTCTGTGCCCAAACAAGGCCCCTCCAGACTGCTGGGTCTTCCTGCAGTGGAGAACAGTGAGCAAGGCCCCTCTGACCTCCTCCACTGCCGTTTCTGGCTATGAACCTTCAGACTTGCCAACCCCAGACCCAAGGCTAAACAACAGCCACTTTCCTAATTAATTACCTCTTGAGCACCAACGGCTGGTCCAGGGTTCACATGCACTTGATTTTTAGGCAAACCCACGTGGATATAAAATTCTAGGCAGAGGAGCTGTGATGGGAAAATGTCAACCACCTGAGCTCAAAAGGCCCCCGGCTAGGGGCTGGGAAGGTGGCTCAGTGGTAGAGCACTTGCCTTGCATGCCTGAGGCCCTGGGTTCGATTCCTCAGCACCACATAAGCAGAAAAAAAAAAGCCGGCAAAAGGGCTGGGAAGGTGGCTCAGTGGTAGAGTGCTTGCCTTGCATGCCTGAGGCCCTGGGTTCGATTCCTCAGCACCATATAAGCAAAAAGAAAAAAACCAGAGGTGGCGCTGTGGCTCAAGTGGTAGAGCATTATCCTTGAGCTGAAGAGCTCAGGGACAGCACCCAGGCCCAGAGTTCAGGCCCCATGACTGGACCAAAAAAAAAAAAAAAGGCCCCCAGCAGACACCTGCGGCTATTTCTGTGAACCACAGGGTCAACAGGGACAACATCAGCTCCCATGACCCTTCCCAGGCTGCCAGAGGCTTTGTGCAGGGACAGGGCCTGGTCAGCCCGTGGAGGGGGGAAAGGGTTGGGGAGGTGGGCATCACCAAAGCCGTGCCCAAGCATTCACTACAAAACCCATCCGTCACACTGGTGAAATGATCTCAAACTGATCTGTGGAACATTGAATGGCAGCAAGATCTTTAAAGTTCAAGTCAAATGTATCTGGCTGACCCCACCCCTTCTCAGCATCCTCAGAACTCCAGCCTCTCAGCTAAGGGAGGAACAGAAAAGAACGTGAGGAAACTCAGGAGGGCAGAGACAGCAGCAATGGAGAACTTGAGGTTAAAAAAAGGAGTGGTGATGTGGCGTCTCTGTGGTGCTCACTGGAGGACTGGCCTGCGAGTCTTGACAAACACCATTTTAGTTCCATCTGTAAGAAGATGTTCTTCCTGGGGCCTGGGGCTCCAGTGCCTTGAAACAGTGACTGCTTCAGCACCACTTCCAATAGTTTTTCTAGAATAGTTTCAGGTTCTAAAGTAAAGCCAAGGTCTCCGTGTGTGTGTGTGTGTGTGTGTGTGTGTGTGTGTGTGTGCCTACATGTGCCTGTGTGTGTGCACGCACACATACACTTAAATGTTTCACTGTCTGGTGACATGCTCCAGCCAAAACTCCTTCACATGAACTGTACATTATCTGGATGGTGCACACACAACAGTCTCCTCACATGTGTACTCATTTTCTGTTCTGGGTTTAAAGGGCTTTAGAGCACAGCTAAGTATAAAACAAGTGACATTCTCTCTAGTGGGCAGTTGGGGCCTCTGGTGCCATCCACCGTGTGTTAACTGTGGGTGACCCTTCTTTATCACTTGCCGATGTCGCGGACAGGCTGCCAGCAGCTGACTCTAGGCAGGACTTACCCACAGAAGACTTTTTCTTATCAGGGACCCGAAGAGCCTACATTCCTGCAGCCTGAGAGGGTAGTGTGGGTTTGGAACCTTGAAGGTGTCACATGACTGGCTCACCGGGCCCAGGCTTCGTCCTTAGCGACGGTGGGTAGACAGAGGAGGCCTGAGAACCGAGCTGAGCGGGGGTGAGGCTCACCATTCCCGTCTGCCCCTCTGGCTAATGCTGCCAGAATGACATCACAGTTCTGACAGAGTCCTTGTTCTCAGCCACATTTTGTGATCAGCAGCCTGGTGACCACTGGTGGCATGATGTGGGTTAGTGGGAGGCCAGGCCTTGCAGCCCCCCCGACGTACCCGGTCCCACGTAACACATGGCTGCATGTGATGTTGCCACGAGTATTTCTTAAAGCCACATTGGACTCCCTGTTTGAATTCAAGCCTGAGAGCTCATGCCAGCCTGGCTGCCTGGCCGCCTCAGGACCCCACACCTCATGTTGTTGGATCCCCAGGGACATGCAGCCATGAAGCAGTAGCCGGCTTCCGGTGAACCACAGAAGAGATTCACATTGGGTCTGGATTCCTGTTGTCAGAGCACAGGACCTGACCCACCCAGAACAGCACTGCAGGACTCGGGGAAAATGAGGAGGTGAGTATGTGGAAGAGTGAATGGGAGAGTGAATGCATATGCAAATGCACGGACGCAGCAGAACTGCTCAGAGAGTGAGGATGTCCTCACCTGGCCGTGTCTCTGAGGTCACCAGCTCTGGGAGTTCCTCCCAGAGGGAGCCAGGCCCCTGAGGTCAAGGTCACTGTCCCCAAGGACATGTCTCAGCAGTCCCTGCAGTGCCCTAGGGCTGGTCAGCAGAGCCATCTGCGTAGACTCCTCTCCTGCGGTCTTCTGAGATAGGTCCCTTCTGCCTGTCAAACATCTGTGACATCTCTACATTAATCCAAAAGAGCTGTGTGCTTCTGCTGTAGTCAATTGTCCCAGGATCTCTATTTAAAGCTTTCTAAAGACAAAAGTAAGGACGACAATTATACAGATTGCGAGACCAGAGTGAGGAGCTTGGAGAGAAAGAGAAACTCAGAGAGCCAACAACAATGTAACATAAACAGCGCAGCAAATAATAGTGCAATTTCCAGCTAATAGAATGGTTTAACACCTGAATACATTCACATGCCTGATTAAACACCAACAACATACACCCATAAAGGAAGATTATAAGTTGTAATATGTCTTTGCAAGAAGTAGCATATTAACCACTGTTTGTATACTTCCCCAATTACATTCCTTTAATTCTTTCATTTAGAAAACAGTTTACATTATAATAGCCAGCGACACTTCTGTTTTTAAAACAATTGCTTGTATGTATATTGCCAAATTATGGGTCTGCAGGATATTTTCATGAGCAAAAACAACTGCAAATGTGCTTTGAGGAGGATCTTTAATTAGGAGTCTGGAGACACAGGATGTGTGGTCTGGGGCCGGCCCGTCGGTGGTTCTCAGCTCCCACGTTCTCTTTCCAGGTTGTCAGGGAGCAGAAGTCTGCTCCAGGAACTTGGAGGCCCGTGTTGCGTGAGCCAAGCCCGGCTCCTCTGTGTACCTGTACTCTGACTGCAGACCGCCGCCTTCCAGGCTGCCAGCCCTGTCCTGGAGTCTACACGCAGTGCCCGAACCCCCAGACCCTGCCAGAGCCTCCTTCCGTGGCCAGGCAATCCAGAGGGGTCCCCTTGGAGGTCTGACTCTGAGGGAGCCAGTGGGGAGGGGGCTTGGGTGTCGGGTCCCTGCAATCTGACAAGGATGGTATGTGGCGGGGGGTTGGGGGGTGCAGGGTCCCACAGGGCACAGGGGTGAGGGGCAGTGTCCTGCAGAGCCATCCAAACAGCTGGAAGGCCAGCCAGGAGTTCCATGTGCAGCCTTCATGGGCGCCAACTGCACCACGTGTCCAGGAGAGGGTCCAGAGCAGGTTCAAGCCCCACACCTGCCCTGGGAGAGAGGGATGGGGAGATGTCAGCAGCCACCAGCCGTTCCTGCCACCTGTTCCTGGGAACGGAACGGTGAGTGGAACCTTGGTGAGGGGGCTGTGGAAGACCAGGAGCTTGGACGGGGTTTATATTACACATCTGTGGCTGGTTGCATCAAGGCCCATCTGTGCCAGGGCAGCAGCTAGGTGACCAGAGAGGAAACACCTAGAGGCATGTGAGAGAGAGGAGGTTTACTGGGACTCCAAGACAGGTCCCCAGGGGAGCAGGTGGGCCAGCAGGGCCCTCAGAAGGTGCAGGGACAATGGCTGGCTGGGCAGCAGCACCCACTCCAGTGTGGTGACCCTGAAACCCTCCCCACCCATGCTTTCCAGCCCTCACCCAGGCCAGCCCCGCCCTACCTCCTGTGACGTCACAGGTCCTGACAGGACCCCATGCAGGGCGGGTCCCAGCTCACTTCCTGGTGGTGATGTCATAGGCCCCTGACATTCCACGTGTCCAGAAGACCAAGGCTGTGGAAGCGGAAGTCTCCGGAGGGAAGGCCCTCCTTTCTCTGCCGGAGGGAGCATGGCAGCCAGCAGAGGAGTGTGGACCCTCTCCTTCGTTCTCCTGCTGTGCAGCTGGCGAGAGGCTGAGCCACAGCCCATACAGATGACAGCAGGTAAAGAGTCAGGGAGGTAGGGGGAGCAGCACAGGGCCTGAGCCACACAGGACAGAGGGCCTCCGGAGAAAGGGCCTCTCTGCCCTCTGCCTCTCTCTGGAGCCCTCTCCTCCCTCTGCCTCAGCTGCCCATTTAATTCCTGGGGACCTGAAGTTAAAGTTGTTTTTGAAGCCTTGTGGAGTGGGAATCCCTGGGCAAGCTGCAGAAGTAAGTCATGACCCTGGTGTTCATTCCTTGTGCTGCTAACTGCATCTTACCTGCGGTGTTTACATACACAGACACCACACACACCACACATGTGCGTACCACACGTGTGCACATGTCTATATGTGTGTTCCACACTGTACTTATACCACACACAAATACCACTGCATACCTATGCATACTCCAGACACGTGTGCACACATGCACACATATGCCACACTACACATAACACCTGCGTGCACATGCTGCAAATAGCGCATGTGTGTACACGTAGACACCTGTACATGCACTCCATGCCTGCATGTACGTGCACACACACATACAGTTTCAGGTGGAGAGCACTAGCCATGTCCTGCATGCCGTAGTACTACAGGCCTCACTTTATAAAATACCCACAATGCCACTGTCACATTGCACAAATCCCTCAGAGCACCTAACACCAAGTGAAGAGAAAAATACTCGGATCAGGCTGGCTGGGCCTGGTGGTTCTTGACCTATATCCGGTGGGCAGCAGGGGCAGATCTGCAGCTGCAGCTGGTCAGTTAGATGCCTTGGAGGAGAATTTGGTCCAATATCTGGGGTGACCAGACCAAAGTTGGGACTGGGTGAATGGAAGGGACCCCTGCTCCCACAGGGAGGTGGGTGGGGCCTTGAGGGAAGGAAAGGAGCCTGGGGAGGGGGTGGCAGAGCGCAGTGTGGCAGCACTGAGCAGTCAACCCCTCTTCACTCCGGGTGGGGGTGGGGGTGGGGAGGGAGGCAGTCTTGTCTTTGGTCAATTTCTGATGTGATTGGGGCGGGGGGGGGTATCTTGTCTTTCGTCTTTGGTCTCTTTCTGACGTGATGGGGGGCGGGGGGTGGGGACAGCAGGGAAGCAGTCAGGAATTTGGTGAGAGAAATTTCTGTGAAATAGGAAGGAAGGGGTCAAGGCTGGAGCCTAGTCCCGGTCCTAGGTTGTAGCTGGGGCTTCGGGTACAGGTTGGGCTGCCTCTGGCAGCCCTAGCAGGGGAGACGCAGCCAGCCAGCTTCCTGATGTCCTCACCAAGGTGTGACTAGAACCTCATTCATGTGATTAGAACCTCAGCCGTCGCCTGAAATAGTCACATGGCCACACTGGGGGTCGGGCTTTCTCTACTGAGCGCAATGGGTTGGAGGGTGGAAGAGTTCTTGGTGGAAACCGCAGGGCTTCAGACCACCCCATAGCTGACCTGGGTCCAGGTGCGACCTCTGGCTCACCCCATCTCTGGCAGAGCCTCAGGCCACATCTACTTCCTCGGCCGACTCCACCGAAACCTGAACTCCATCAAGACAGCACCACAGAGAATGTTCTGGGATCTCCAGAGGAGAAAGGGCGTCCAAGGTGCGAGAACACATTCAGGAAAGCAGCAGAGTAGAACGAGATTGCTGTGAAGGACAACATGATCGTCTGTCTCAGAACAGTGTGCCGAAAGCCTGGTGAGAATTATTAGACTGCAACAGAGAGCCGCATGACCCTGAGACGCCATCTTGCCACGACACGGGCCAGGACGGGGCACTAACAGGACCACTGCAGACGCTGGAGTGGATCCATGATTGCATACCACTAAGAAACATGTATGACAGCATGCCCATCTAGATGGAATGCAAGGGCTAACCATCTCACCAAGCTCCAGCATCTCCACATCACAAATAAAGCTAGTTTAGCAAGTCTCTCCCAAGAGCAGAGGATGCGTCCTGGAGACCTTCCGGGATACTTCAAAGTGAGCTTGAGGCCAAAAAGGCTTCATTTAGAATCTGGTTCAGGGAAATTGTCAAAAATGTCAGAAGCTTTGAATTCTTGATGGAATAAGATCACAGCACTTGGTTATCTATTAACCAAATGACAACAAAGGCAGTCACTGCAAGTACTGGCTGGTTCTTAAGAAAAGGAAAGAACAGGGGAGGGAGGGAGAGAAGGAGGGAGGGAGGGGAACAAAAGAAGGAAGGAAGGAAAGGGAAAAGAAGGGAGGAAGGAAGGAAGGAAGGAAGGAAGGAAGGAAGGAAGGCAGTAAGGAAGGAAGGGAAGAAGGGAGGGAAGAAAGGAGGGAAGGAAGGAGGCAGGGAGAGAGAGGACAGAAAAAGGACATCCATCCAGCTGCCGAGGCCCACACCTGACATCCTAGCTACTTAGGAGGCTAAGATCCGAGGACCACAGTTTAAAGTCAGCCTGGGCAGGAAAGTCTGTGAGGCTCTGATCTCCAATCAACCACCAAAGAGCCAGAAGTGGAGCTGAAGCTCAAGTGGCAGAGTGCCAGCCTCAAGGGAGAAAATCAGGGACAGTGCCCAGACCCTGCGCTCAAGCCCCAGTACTGTCGCACATGTGGGTGCACATGCGCGCACGCGCGCGCGCGCACACACACACACACACACACACGGACAGTGGGGTGTACTTGAGTGTGGGCCTGTCTGTGGCCGGCTCTCCTGAGCCAACCTTCCCATGAAGCCCTGCAGGACCCCGCCTTCCTCATGCGCAGGAGTTCCACCAGGCAGGTCAGTAACCTCGTATAGTAGAGCGAACTTCTCCCCACACGGGACGCCCATCTGCCCGCCCGGCTTCCTACACCAGCCTCCTCTTAGGTGAGAGAACAAAGCCTCCGCCAGCCCTGGGGCTCCTGTTTGCTTGCCACTGACCCCCGTGTCCAGGTGAGCTCCCTGTGGCTGGGCTTGCTGAGCCAAAGCCTCCCAGTGTCTCTACCCAGCCCTGCACAGCTCGCCAGGAGCCGTAGTGCCGCCTGGGACAGGGGCAGGTCCTTCCAGAGGTGGGGAACCCTCCCAGACCCCCTTGGAGCCAGTCTGCACTCATGGCTGCCTTCCATGGGTGGCCAGGACTGAGGGCAGTGCTGAAGCTCTGGAGCCAAGTCCTTGTTCTGGCGACTGAGCCCTGTGCCAGTCCCGGGCTTCCAGGAAAAACCCTGTGCCGGCTCCTGGTTCGCTCCATGCATCCAGTGCTGAGAGCTCCTGCTCCCCACAGCTCTTCTTCCTCTGACCTCACCACGGGGCTGGCCAGTGACCGGCGAATAGGAAGATCTTGGTTCCAGCTGGCCTCGGCAAAGGGCCCTTCCCTATCTGAAAAATAACCAGTGCAAGGGGTGAGGGGCGGCCGGCCTGGCAGAGTAGCTGCCTCACAAGTAGGAGGCCCCAAGTTCAAACCCAGCACAACCCAGCAAAAATCTGCAGGTGACATATCCAATTGGTTCATTGGTGTCCACCAGTGAAGGTATGTGGCTTAATTTGCCACTTTCTTTTCTTGGTTAAAATTGCAGCCAATTAATTTATATGTAATTAAGACTATTAAGAGTAGTAAGGGACACAACTTGGCAAATGAACTGTGCTAGGAAAGCGGCAGGTGCGTCTGCTACAGAACATGGCTGGTGTGAGAGGCAAACGTGCTCTGGCCAGAGAAGAGATGTTCTGAGGTAAAGTAGGCTGTGCAACAAAGACCAACAAAATAAAGAACAAAAGTCCAGGCAAGGTCTGAAGTGTCAGAGAGAAGAGCTTCTAGTCTTCCCTGGTCCACTTGCCCTGGGGGCGAATGGACCCCATCGAAGTCTGACACGGCTACCAGCCGTCACCTCCTGGGTCAAGGGAGAGGCTGCCCAGCTCCGGAGGCCAGTGAAGGGATAGTTTCTGGCAGCTCTGATGTCGGCACACATCTGTTCACCCCATTCTGGGGTCTCCCCAGCCATGGCCAGGTGAGCTAGGCTGGCTACAGTGCACCCCTCACATGGAGCTGCTGGTCAGGAGAGGAAGGGCAGCAGTGGATATGGCGCTGGTGATGGAGGAAGATATGGTGCTATGTCCTCTGGTTAGCCAGGGAAGACTTAGCACTCAATGGTGAACTCTAAGAAGCCAGAAGGAGCAGGGGGCAGCAGTGGATGAGCGCACTGGAGTGTCCTGGCCACAGGGCACCTGCCGTCTGCAAACTGCGACTCTCAGGAGGAGGTGACCAGGAAGCCGCTACACTTGACAATGCACACCGCCCTCCACACGGGTGCTGTGAACATAAAGCCTCCCTGCGTGGGTTTCGGCTGACTTGCACAACGCTTCCATTGTAATTACGGGACACACACGAGATGAAAAGAATATTTTTAACAAAGCGCTTGCATGGCGCAGCTGTACCCGTTCTTAATGATCCATTAATGTCGCTTCCAAAGAGAACTGTACTTTTGTTTGTTTCCTTTACCGAAGGTCAGCATACTGGAAGCAATTGTCATCACCATCCCAGACCTTGTTACACATTTCCTGCATTGTTCTGAGCATGTGTGCAGATGAGCCATTGGTATGCAGATTGTCCGTCATTAAGACCACTTGAGAATCAGCTGTGTCATTGGTTTGGGTAGGAACTTCAATTCTTACAGACAGGCTCTGTGTGTTCAGTAAGGGAAGGTGGAGTGGGCCTGCCCAATCCGCCTTCCAGGGTGCCTATGACCTCAAGCTGAGACTGAGGCTGACCTTGACCTCAAGCCAAAGATGTGTACTAGGATCCACAGATGCTGCCACCTCGGATCAAGGACAGGCATGCATCAGAAGGGGGCAACCTGGGTGGGAATGGCTGAGCAGGAAGTGGCACTTGAAGCCGTCTGCCTCGGCATGGTGCCCAGCATGGCACTTCCTGTCCACCAGGGAGTGGAAGCCCTGGATCAGATGGCCCTGGACCCTAGTGACAACAGCCATCATGGACCTTTCAGTTCACCCAGGAGACTCCACTTCTTACCAACAGATGGCACCACCTGGAAATGCTTGCTCAAGGAAGAAGCAGAAGAAGGAAGAGATTGGCCTCTGGGCTCTCCTGTCCCCTAGTACAGATCACAGTGAAAGTCAGCACTAGCCAATAAGCAGTTCGAGCCAACAGAGAGCTAGGGAATATTGATGAGGTTCTTAGAGCAAAATGAACATGACTGGTTGACAAAGCCTTGGGCAGAGGCTGAGTGTGTTTCCTGTTCCTGTGGGCTGGGCTTGGGTGGCTCAGGGGGGACCCCAGAGTGTGATGAGGGTCCCCCATCGTGCTCAAAGGAGGCAGAAGTAGCTTGTTACCAAAGTAAATGTGTGCCCCTCTTCCTCTGCTCCACCCACGAGCTGATGGAGCCCAGTGGCCTTGGACCTGGGTGGTTTTCTTACCATTTGGAGGGCGATGCAGGTACTAGGAGACAGGTTCCACTCAGGACATCAGGGCAAGTCCTGCCCTGGGGGTGGCAGCTTTCCCACTGAGAAACCCAATCCCAGAGGCGTTCTGGGTGCATGGCTGGGGGTTTCAGATGTTCCAGTGAGTAGGGGTTCTAGATGTTCCTTGGTTCTTGAGATTAGGACACAGGTACAACAGCAGAGCCACCAAGAGTAGACAGGGGCCAAGAGTGCTAAGTAGCAAAGCAGAAACATACCTGGAGACGTAAGGTAGGTGGCTAAGGGAAGGACCATCTGCCCTTAAGTTGAAGTTGTCAGGGTCTAGGGATTTTTTTTAATCCAATGGGATGGCTAAATCCCCAAGTGATTAGCCAGCTGCACAATGGCTGCTAGGTGTGCAAGTCACAGGTACCTGAGCACTGGGTGTGGGAGTCACAGTACCTGAGAACTGGCCTCTAACCTTTGCCACTCACAACTGTGTGACCCTGACTTCCACAAGAGAGAATACGAGCCTTTTTAAAGCATATATTAGTTGTATGAAGAGGTTTCATTGTGCTGTTTCCACAGATGCGTGCAGTGTACTTCCATTGCTTGCTCTCCCTCCCCCTCTAATCAGCAGCACTAGAGATTGAAGTTAGGGCCTCATGCTTGGTAAGCAGGCATTCTGCCACACTTCCAGTCCCTTTCTTCCGTCATTACTGTTGAAGTGGATAGGTCTGCCTTGTGTCTAGCCAGCCTGGACTGTGATCCTCCCATTTTTACTTATGTTGCAGGAGATGGCAGGCACACACCCTGTGCCTGGCCAGCATGCTTCCCCTGTAACTGGGATAAGACATACATTCGTGCCACCGAACCGGGCCGTTGGTTGAATTTCAAAGCTTTTATACCCAGCCTTGTTGTCCATCTCACAATTAGGTGAGACTACAGACTGGAGGCTTAATAGTCTCTTACCATTCTTCCTGCCTCCTCCCACTTTGCAAATGGTGTTTACTGGGTTTCACTCTACCACCTCCACACACATACACATGGACACATAGACAGCATACAACACTCAGTCCCCAGCACCCTCTCCTTTCCCCTCCTCCCCCTTGCTGGCTCCGCACTGACAGATAATCCTTCCTCACAACTATTTCCCGTTGTTCTAATCATCACTGTTGTGAGTTTCGGTCTAGATTCTGCACATGACTGAAAACATTCACTTATTTTTGCCCTTTGAGTTTGGCTTATCTCATTCACCATGATAATCTCTAGTTCTATTTTCCTACAAGTGACATAACTTCATTCTTTTTTATGGCTGATAAGGCTCTGCTGTGTACACACCACATTTTCTTTCTCCATTCATCAGCAGGCAGATGCTATAGCTTGGCTGACACCACATGGGTGTGGTAAGAGTCAGATTATATGTTGACTTCCATCCCTGGAGACAGGCCGGAGCAGTATAGCGGGACAGATGATGATTCTGGTGAAGTTCTGAGGGTCCTTAGTAGCTGTTATGTTGCCACGGAGAACATGCAAGGGTTTCCACGCCCAGCCCACCACTCACCAGCATGAGTTGATGTTCATGCTCTTGTTGATGGGCATTCTGACTGAGGTGGACACCCAGTGTTGACCCCATTTGCACTTCCTGTATGGCTAGTGAGGCTGAACTTCCATCATGTACCGACGGGGGCGGGGAGGGGGGAGGGGGAGGAGAGGAGTCAAGGGGATGGTGACCTCAGCATGGCTCCCAAGCATGGGGCCACCTTGGATGTTACAGTTCCACCTTTTCAACCATGCCTAGTCTGGGAGATTTCCTTATTCCTGCAAATGTCTACTTAGCTGTCTATGTCAGCAGTACCTGTGGCCAGCACTCAGTACTCACAGGCAGTACTCAACACTCAAAAGCAGCAGTGACATTCTCCCTGTACCAGTTACCTGGTGGGGCTTACACAGCACTCTCCACGCAGAGTGGAGTGACAACCCAGGATCAGAGTTAAACCATAGGCTTAGGGACAATGCCCAGACTCTGAGTTCAAGCCCAGGACCAGCACAAAAGAAAAAAGAAAGAGGGGAAAAGTAGTCTAACAGTATACTTCATCGAGTGATTTTTCAACATACAATTAATATACAATTATTGAGATATTTTCATCCTCATCACACCAAGTCTTCAAACTCCAGGGCTCAGGCCACGTCCAAGCGGCCAGCTGTGCCTGAGATGGCAGCAATTTCAAGGCTCTGACCTTGGCTTCTGCCTCAGTCACCTCTCCACGCCAGGCGCCGGTTTGCTTTTCTGATCCTCAGAAAAGCCATTAAATAATCATGAGCCCCATTTTACACAAGGTCAACCCAAGGTCAGAGATGTGAAGACATTTGCACAACCTCATCATCAAGTGAGGGAAAAAAAGCAACAAGGGTCAAGGTCCAGAGGCCTCAGAGCCCCAGAGCCCTCTGCGCGAAACCTCAGAGCAGTGGTCTCAACAAGAAGAAACACAGCTGCACCAGCATGAAAATCACAGAGCACATTCACTCCCAGAGATGGACACAATGACAGAAGGGCAAGAGGGAGGATGGAGACCAGGCCTGGGGCCCGGGTTTGCAGCATGCTGGCTCTGCAGGTCTCAGTCTCCATCACTGCAATAGTCAGCTCACTTCGTTTTGAGCCACAGCTTTGGCTGTTCCAGCTCACGACTGCTTGGCCCAGTTGCTCCAGGCTGGTGGCAAGGCAGGCCCTCCCAGTGGGAGGGCACGCAGAGAGAAGACACCTCATCTCGGGTCACACGGGAGGAAGCATGAGGGCTTGGCAGCCCCCCTTTCGAGCACATCCCCATGGTGGAGGTCTCTAGGAAGCCCCACACCTCCCAACGTGACTGCTCGGGGACCAGCCCTCATGCACAGTAATGATTCAGCCCCACTCTCAACTAGATTGGACTGAAAAATGCCCAGATGAGTAATGCTCACATGTCTCTGCAGGCTCTGACCAGTGAAGGGTTTTGTCCACAGGACTCAAATCTGTAAACTATTGAGATCTGGCGGGGTGTAGACTGGAGGAGGCACGTCCCTAGGGGCTGGGTCTCCCCATTTCTGCGGCTGTCCTACCCTGCCACATACTCCTGTCGCTACAATGTCTCGTCTCTCATCTCCAGTCCTCGATGTCAGGTGATTTGTCACAGCAATGTAAGCTCTGACCAACAGAGGCATTGCTGTGACTTAACCTGGCCATGCAGTTAACTTTAAATTTGTTCAACACCTTTGGAACTGGTTTGTAGGATGCGGGATTCTCGTGTGAACTCTGTATCAGGATGCTGATGGAAATTAAAGACTCTACTCATGAGATTTCAGACTCCATTAGCAAAGATCCCTCACTTCACGTCCTGGCAGAGAGCTCACCCACATTTTGTCTGTGTCCTCAGACTTTGTGGTAGGTTGAGTTTAATGATGATGGACTAGTGTGTCAAGCAGAGCTGAAGCCATCCAGCATTCAGCCTACAGCACAGCTATTACTGGCTGCTTTGGGTTCACAGTGAGATCCAGAGCAAAAAAGCAGAGCAAAAAGGCAAAAAAAAAAAAAAATCCAAACTTGCTAGCCTAGAAAATAAAGTTGGGAACTGGCCAGACTCCATCTGTGGAAGAAGAAGCTCACTTTAAAGGCTTTCTCCAGAGAAAAGAGCCTCTGGGAAACTGCTCTGCCTAGGGAGGTGTTTCCTCGAGATTCCTTTCCCAGTGCTCCATTACCCATGGCTCGAGCCCAGAGCAGGAACCAGTCCAGCCACCGCTGCTGCTAGCCACAGACTGTAGCACCGCCCACGGTTCTGTTTCTGAAGGCACATGGAATGCAAGAGTTTCAGGATCGTGGGGGCTTCCACCCAGATTTCAAAGGGAGGCCAGGAGGCCAGGCCGTGTGTGGCAGGGTCCTATACCCGCCCAGGAGCTTGAGAGGACAGTGTGTGACGCTGCAGTGAGAGAGATCAACGGAAGAGGCCCGTGCTGCAACAGACACTCCAGGAGGTTGGAGATGCCGGGAAGGTGGAACCACTGCTGAGGAAATCACAGCAGACAGTGGAACAGCCCAGGACAGGAGCCGGGGGCTGTGGGGGGCAGGCAGGACCAGCCCAGGACAGAGCACTGGAGGCTGCACAGGTGTAGGGCTCCTCACACTCATTAGTGCTCAGACCTTGATAGCAGATTCCCTGAATGCCAGACAGGGGCAACAAGAATGAACATTTTCCTTGTGGAGTTTCAGACTTGCTTTCATCTAATCCTTCCTGGCTGCTCCGCTGTTCCTCCTGTCAGACAGGACTGTTGACTGCATCTGTACCTTGGAAGTGTGTCAGGAGCTCACAGCTGAGTAGCCATAGGTCTTGGAGACTTTGAACTTGGGATCTGGACACGGGTGGAATGGTTGGTGCAATGGGGATGCTTGGCAGGACTGTGAACACACGTTGCACTGCGCCTTAGGGGGAAGGGAAGAATGCTGCGTGTGAAAAGGCTCTAGTTGACAAGGCGTGGGCCTGCGATGGTTGGAGATTGTCAGTTTAATCAGCTTGAGAAATGCCCACAAGATGAGGGCTCACATCTCTCGTGGGGGTGGGGATGTGTGGGAAGGAGGTGACGGCATCTCGAGGCCTCTGGTCTAATGTACTGCTCCACTGACGGACTCACGCCCCACCCAGCTGAATAAAGCCCATCATCTCAGGCTGGACCTGGTCCCGGCCCCTCCTCTCATCTGTCTCTGCTTCCTGCTTGTCCTGTGTGAGCTGCAGGCCTGCGCTCCAGCCCCTCCCTGCAGGGAGGAAACGGCGCCTCTCCATCTTTCAAGAGTTTGGTCAGAAATGATGAAAAGGCTGCCAGGTCTGAAGACCATCAGGGTCAAAGCTATGGCAGGAGGTGATGGTCAGGAACTGCCCAGATGGTCTCGTTTTGTTGTTGTGTAGGCAGCCAGTGGTCTGTCCACTGAGATGAGGCTCTCTATAGAGTCTGAGCCTTGTTCCCTGGTTCCTTGGGTTCCAGCTTTCCATCCTCTCTGTTCACAGCCTCAGGTTCAGACTGCATACATGGTATCAATCTCACATGTCAGTCCTGTCTCTAACATGTTCTTGTGTGCTGTTCTCCAGATGAAATTCTAATCCAAGAGCTTTTGGACCCAAGCAAATCAGCATTTGAAACAGAGAGTACAGCATCGACATTGTCAACAAAACAATTAAAGGAAGAAAGCAAGTATATCCTTCTTTATACCCTCTTGTTCACGCCATCATGTTTTCTTTTGCTTTCTGGTAGTACTGAGTCCAGAGCTTTGCACTGCTAGACAAGCACTCTGCACCGAGCTGTCCCCTCAGCTCCTGCCCAGAGTTCTTCAGCAGCAGCCATGGGCAGAGGCAGGTGGACACTGAAAGAAGCCATCTTCCAAGGCCTTGGGCAGGTCCTCCTGAGACTGAGGAGGTCACTCCTCATGGCAGGGGTGGAGTGCCTTTATTTGGGATGATCTCTGAGTACACATTCATGCATGTTCTTGTTCTTGTGATGCAAATGGGGTTGAGCTGTAGTCAGAACATGAGGCTCATAGAAAGAACTTTGAATGGGCTAGCATGTAATAGTGGAATGTACACTGTGGTTTGCCTTCACCTACAGTTTCTGAGAGGGAAAGGCAGGTCTGTTACCTAATGGGGCAAGAGGTAAACCAGCCAGGTGCCAGTGGCTCATATCTGTAATCCTAGTTACTCAGGAGGCTGAGATCTGAGGATTGCAGCTCAAAGCCAGACCCAGCAGGAAAGTCTGTGAGACTTGTATCTCCAATTAATCATAGAAAAAGCCAGAAGTGGTGCTGTAGTTCAAGTGGTAGAGTACTGGCCTTGAGCAAAAGGAGTTTAAGGATAGTGCCAAGGCCCAGAATTCAAGGCCCAGGACTGGCAAGAAAAAAATATATAAACCAAGGCTGAGCACATGACTTGCCCAAGGCCACAAAGCAGTGAACAGAAACAGATGGGCTTTCCAAAGTACAGCCTTCTCTTGTCAAAACTGTGCACAGGAAGTGAAATAGTACATAGAAAGCCAGAGAGGACAGAGGGACAGTCCATGGCTAAGGAGATGTGCATATCAGAAATACCCACACACTCCATGAAAGTGCACTCTGCAGCAGCAGGTTCAGCATTTTCTTGGAGTTTGTGTTCAGATATTAAACAATATTCATTTCTGGGATTTGTTCACTTGACATCTGTCCAGGCCACAGAGCTGGGCTTAAGGTGGTTAGGTGACAGCTGTTTACACATGTGCATTTTCAAATAGGATTCCTAGCCAACATCTTAAAATAAAATGTGCATCAAAAATGTTCACAAGAGTGTAACCAAGACAACTTTACCCCATTCTTTTCCATGTTCTTCATCAAAGATTCTGGCATCGATGACAATTATCAAGGTGATGGTGCTGAGAATTATCATGAACTACTGGAAAGTTCAGAACTCTCTTCTGGCAATGAGGAAAGAAACTATAATACTGGTAAATATGACCCACCAATCCCCCTGCTGGATTCAGAAGGTGACTGGGAGACTGAGTCAGCCGGATGCAGGTGGGAACAGCAAAGGGAGGAACGTGTGATCGGAGATTATGGCTGTTCCACCCAAGTCAGGCAGATTTCCCCAGCCCTGACACTAGGCTTTGCAAAACACAGCACAGGAGAATCCATGGCAGAGGCCATGAGCAGAAGTAAGGCACTGCCACATCACTGTCTCTTGGATGCCCAGCTGAGTGACCTCTCCTTCCTGTGGTGAGGTGGCAAAGAGAGCCAGAGCAGCCCCAGGGGACCCCAGGAATCAGAAAACTTCCCTGCACAGATGAGATCTCTGGGAACAACCACGGGCAAAGGCTCAGAAAGGAAGCAGGACTCCAGGGATGACAGACCTCTGTGCCCTAAGATTAACTGCAAGGAAGTGTGCCTGTGGTGCAAAGGACAGCGTGTAGGACATCTGAGACACACCACATGTAGGACTCTAGTACACAGGACAGCGTGTAGGACATGGGACACACCATGCAGACCAGCTCTCCAGTGTTCTTTAGAGTATGATATCTGTGGCACACCCACATCCAGGACCAGACTAGTAGGTGTGCACAGGCAAACATGTGCAACCTCCGCCACGTCAGAACTGGAAGACCTGGCTCCCAAGCCTGCTGGCCTTGGGGGGAGGGGATCTTACTGACATTTCTGAGCCCCCTCAGCCCTGGGGGCCAAGGGAGTGGCACTTCCATCCATTCTCCAAAGGTTCCTCCAGTGAATGCTGCCAGTGCACAAAGGATGGAGATGTTCACTGCAGGGCTCAAGCAAGAAAGCCATTCCACGTCAATGTAGTTTGTGCCCCTCTGTGAACTGAGCAAAGAACGGCTAGTGTGGTGTTTGCCAGGTAGTGATTTCCCCTTTTCTGCCAGTTATTCCCATGTTTATCAACTGGAATTGTGCTATCAGAGAATCCCCAGGCCAGGTCTGGTGCTCGCACCTGTAATACCAGTTACCCAAAAGATGGAGAGAAGAGGATTGTGAGTCAAGGCCACCTGGGCACGTAGTTCGTGGGATCCCATCTCAGAACATAAGCCAGGCTAGCGGGTGGCACATCTGCAGACCCAGCAGGGAGGTAGAAGCAGGATGATCATAGGCTGAGGCTGGCCCAGGAAAAAAAAGAAAGAGTTAAGACCACATCCCAAAAAACAGAAGCAAAAGGTCTGGGACTGGGTTCAAGTGGTAGAACACTTGTCTACCAAGTGTGAGGTCCTGAGCTCAAACTCCAGCATCTCTAAAAAGAAAAGGACAGTGCTGTTTCTTGCCCTTCCTCTTTGTTTACTCAATGAGTTCAGCATCTGCAAAGACCAGGGGTTGGTCGACAACCACAGTACACGGTGCCTGACTGAGGTGCTGACCACACTCCCCAGGCATGGCCTCGCAGGGCACTGCGGCTGCCTCCCATCTCTCCACACCCCTGCTCTCAGTTCCCCCCTGGTTCTCTGGAGGCTCCCCTGGTGCCTCCCTGCCCCTGGCCTGGCCTCTACAGACCAAGACTTGGGTGTGAGATAAGGTCTGGAGATGCCGGTGCCCGGGCCAGGCCAGGCACGTATGAGCTCCGGCCCTGCTGCTGTTCCATCTTCCATCTGTGCTTGCTCACCTCCAGTGTGTCCGGCCATGCCCCCTGCTGCGTCTTTCCTACCCCCAGACCTTGTAATCACAGGACAGTCTGCAGTGCATGGCCTGGCACATGGGTAAATTCCTGGATCATGAGGCCCAGCTGAAAGAGGAGTGAGCGAGGGAACGAGTAGTTTCAAGAGTTGCACAATGGTTGGCTGTGTTCACATGTTAGCCTTCCAAGTATGTTTACAGATAAGACCTAAAAATGATAATAGTATTGAAACTTGGAAAATGCATTAAAACATCTCCCACTTTCTTCAATGTTCATTGAAGAAGGGATCACCACTGAGAATCTTCACGGCCAAGGTCCTGAGAACTTCCACGAGCCTCGCTTCTCTTCTGGAGGTGAGGACGGACTGCAGTGTGGTCCTCACTGGCCACGTGGGGCAGACCACGCAGTGTAGATCACATGGGGCAGACCACGTAGGACAGACCATGCAGGACAAACCACATGGGTCAGACCACACAGTGTAGATCACACGGGGCAGACCACAGGGGACTGACATGGGGGAGGGGGCAGGGAGGGGCAGACCACATGGGACAGACCATGCAGTGTAGATCACATGAGGCAGACAATGCGTGACAGACCACTTGGGGCAGACCACATGGTGTAGATCATGTGGAGCAGACCATAGGAGGCAGACCACATGGAACAGATCAGGCAGGGTAGATGGCGCAGGGCAGATCACACAGAGCAGACCATGCAGGGCAGACCACGTAGGGAAGACCATGCAGGGATAGATCACGAAGGATAGATCACATGGGGCAGACCATGAGGTGTCGGTCACATGGGGCAGACCACGGAGGGGCAGACCATGCAGTGTAGACCACGCAGGCAGACCACACAAGACAGACCACATGGAACAGACTACATGGGGCAGAGAGAGTCCTGCGATTCTCCCACAGCTAGCCTGACCTCAGGCTGAGGGCTGGTTTCCTTTGCAATTCTCTAGTTATCAGTGGGTTTTAGCCTCTGAAATTTAAGGGCCATTTTTTTTTTGGTCTTTTTCTTCTTTGGCCCTTGGGATCAAACCTAGATGCTGTACTTGTTAGGCAAGTGCTTTGCCACTGAGCTGCATCCCTACCCTTAAGGACCATTTTGTATCTTCTTTATAAATGGGATCATGCAAATTTCTCACATTCTATTGGGTTTGAGTCTTTTATCCTCAGTTTCTAAGTTATTTATTTATTTATTTATTTTGGTACCAGTCCTGGGGCTTTAACTCAGAGCTCGGGTACTGCACCTGAGCAGTTTTGCTCAAGGCTAATGCTCTGCCACTTGAACCACAGCTTCATGTCTGGTTTTTTTGGTTGCTAATTTATGAGAATCTCACAGCCTTTCTGCAGACTGGCTTCAACCAAAATCTTCAGCTCTCAGCCTCCTGAGTAGCCAGGATATCAGGTGTGAGCCACCGGTGCCTGGAAAGGGCTTGTTTTTAAGAATATTAGGAATGTGGGGCTGGGAAGGTGGCTCAGTGGTAGAGTGCTTGCCTTGCATGCATGAAGACCTAGGTACAATTCTTCAGCAGAAAAAGGCGGAAGTGGTGCTGTGACTCAAGTGGTAGAACGCTAGCCTTGAGCTGAAGAGCAGAGGGACAGTACCCAGGCCCAGAGTTCAGGCCCCACAACCAACAAAAAACACACAAAAAAAGAATATTAGGAATGTAATATAGACACAGGCCTCAAGCACATGTTGTAAGCATTTTTTATCAGCTGATTTCATGATATTTTTTTATTGTAAGAATACCGTACAGAGGAGTTACAATTACATGGGCAAGATAACGAATACATTTCTTATCAAGCATTGTTGCCTCCTCATTGTTTCCCCTTCCCATCCCTTCCCATACTCCCCCCTCCCCACCCGACCCTCTCCCCACCCCCCACCAAAGTTGTAAAGTTCGTTTTTTTGACATAACGACTTGTACATCTCATTGTTGCAATGGGTCCACCTGTATCCCTAGTTAAATGATTTGTTTGTTCACTTCCCCTCCACAAATTATACCAACATCAAATACAGCGAAAGCTCATTATTTTTTTTTCATGGAAAAACTTAATAATTTTTGTAGATAAAATTACCACCCTTCTGTTGCCTTTTACATTTTAGCCACAGCTAGAAAAATTTCCACAACACTGAAGCTCAAGCAAAACTGATGCTTTCCTTAGCTCTTTTAGTTCATGTTTCATGCAACATGATTCCATGAAGTCTCGTGCTGCGGGCTCTGTCCTAGCTCAGCTCAGTGGGTTTGCCTCCTCTGCCCTCTGCTATAATGGAGAACTCAAACGTTGTTTCTATATGAATTGATTATTTTTTTATATTGAGGAACTGTAAATGATTCTGCCTATCAATTAATCTGAATTACCTGCCAAACTTGCTAGGAAAGTTCTTCTATGAATACTAAGCATGTGCTGAGCACCAGAGCGCACAAGGGTGGCAGCATGCCCAGCATGTGGTATATGTTTGTACTGTCAGCTGCTTAGGGTACAAGACTGGAAAACCCCAGTTCAAGGCTAGCCTGAGCAAAATTAGCGAGGCATTGACTCAAAATCACACTGAGCACGGCAGCTTGCACCGCTGGTCCCACTGCCATGCAGAGCTAGGAGGACTGTGGTCAGAGGCTAGCTCAGTGAATGATAGCGCCAGACCTTCTCTGAAATACATACTAAAACACAAGACTGAGAGCACAGCTCGAGCGGTAGAACATTGCCTAGCAAGCACGGGACCACGAATTCAAAGCCAGGACTACCAGGAATAAAAACAATTAAAAAATAAAATTGAAGTAAGCTGAAGGATGATAAATCTGTAGCCACCTTCCCTTCTTCCTTATTCCTTGTTACACAACTCCTCGTTGGTGACCCAGGGCGCCTGACAGGCCTGGAGGTCCTCAACATGGCTCTTGTCCGGCATCTGTGCTCACCTGGCAACTGTGCTCACTCAGCCACTGTGCTGTCACCTGGTGACTGTGCTGTCACCTAGTGACTGTGCCTTGGTCAGTCAGACCAGGCTCTGGCTGGTGACCATGACCCAGAGGTGGATCACCTGTCTAGCAGCCCACAGACCTGAGTTCAAAGCCCAGGACTCTGAAGGACATTTTCATTTCCACAGAACATAATGACATTTATGCCACAATGATTAGTTTCCTAATAATATTAAACTTTAACAGAAGATTCATTCACTCAGGATCGATGGGGCACCTATACATGCTGGAGAATTAGAGGGTCCCTGCTCCCCAAGAAATAGGAGACCTAGTGAGGTGTGCCAGCCAACACAGTTATTACCCACATGTCTGAAAGCATGACTGTAGCAAGCCTCCCCACGTGTGAAGCTGGAGAAACTAGAGGTGGGCGTGCTGATGTGCTCTGTGAGCTGGAGGGGAAAGGAAAGGAGGCCCTGGAGGGCTCAGAACTGTGTCCCTGGGCCACATCCCAGACACTCTGGCCCCAGGACCTGCCTGTACCTGGCATCAGGAACCTGCAAGAAAGAAGGACTGGACAGGAAGGTCCTGCTTAGAAGGAATGTGTCCAGGCCCCAGGGACAGCAGTCAGATACCAGGAGCATCTGACACACAGCAAACACTGCTCAAACCTGTGAATAAGCATGTTTTAGATGATCTCCTCGATGGGTGTATTGTGGGGGACACGGCTGGTGGTCCCCCATGGGTGCATTGTGGGGGACATAACTTGGGATCCCTGGAGGGTGCATTGTGGGGCTGGGTTAGTTTTCACCCTCATGGGCACTAAAGTTAACAGGAAGGGAAATCATGTCAAAACTACATAATGGTGCTTATTTTTCCTCCACAGAAAAGAAGGATCCAAAAAATGATCGATATGGCAGATTATCAATCCTGGACAAAATCCTTCAGAACATAGGGAGATCTTCAGGTAACCCGGGGCTGACAGGCAGCGGCTCATCCTGGGAGGCCTGAGGGGAGGAGGCGCAGGTGCCTGTGTGCTGGCGGGCCAGCTGGGCTCCAGGCCTCTGGGCATCAGGTGGCTGGGCTCCAGGCCGTTGGCTCCAGGCTGCTGGCTCCACAGCAGCTCCCCTAGCACTCGGGCTGAGGAGGGACGGGGTCAACCAGGGGCGCTCCCTCTGCAGCATGGAAGGGAGCAGGTGGAACATCCCAACCCTGGCACGCAGCTGCCTGTGCCTCTTCAACGTGGCGCTCCTGGAGATGCCCATGGCTGCACCTCCCCGACCCTCCACCCTTCCTACAGGGACCTGCAGCCTCTCACCTCCTGTGCTCCACCCGGACCCATGTAGCCCCCCAAGTCTGAGGGAGGAGGGGTCACCCAGAAAGACCTGCAAGGGAATGGCTGGCCAGTCACCCACCTCTCCTCGACTTCTCCCTGCTGTCTCTGCCGTCTCCTCCGTCTCCCATCCCTGTCCCCATTCCCCTCCTGTCCCATCCCTGTCTCCTGTCCCCTTCATCCCCCATCCCTGTCTCCTGTCCCCTCCTTCCCCCATCCCTGTCTCCTGTCCCCTCCATCCCCCATCCCTGTCTCCCAACCCCTCCATCCCCCATCCCTGTCTCCCAACCCCTCCTGTCTCCCATCCCTGCCTCCCAACCCCTCCTGTCTCTCCCGGGTATCCCATCCCCCCCATCTCCTGTCCCCTCGGTCTCTCATTCCTGTCTCCTGTCCCCTACTGTCTCCTGTCCCCTCTTGTCCCTCCACCCCCTCCTGTCTCCCTGTCCCCTCAGTCTCTCATTCCTGTCTCCTGTCCCCTCCTATCTCCCTGTCCCAGCCACATCACCCCAGGTGGCCCACATGGCACAGCCTCCCTCGTTTTCAGTCTCCTGCAAACCCCGACGCCCCTCTCGTGCCCCAGGCTAGCCTCCTGCCCGGGTTCCTTGCACTGAAGGAGCCTGAACATTACAGGAGGCAGCACCAGTACCGCAGACCAGGCAGTTCTCTCCCCAGCCTGACCCCCACTTCCTGCTCTCGCCTCCAGCCACACAGTGTTCTCCTAGGAAACTGAACCCAACAATCTCTCTCACTGGGCTCCTCAGTCCCATGTGGACACAGGGAGGCCAATTCAGCCACAGGAAGTGGGGCTGAGAATAAGAGCACAGGCTTTGGAGTAGATAGGACCTGAGTTCAAATCCCACGTTGGCCTGTACAAGGACCTGGCAGTGACCTTGCCAAGTGACCACACACAGGTCCTGGGCTTCAGCCCAGCCTTGGTTCCCAGAGGACGTCTTAGCCCTGACTGGGTGCCGAGGAGACGGAAGGTGGTAATGTTTGCAGGATGTGTGTAGAGTCAGAGACACAGGAGGTGGGAGGGCCACACCTGGTGAAGCCAGGACAACGGAGTGGGGGGGTCACGGGTGTCTGAGGACCCTGTCTACAAGCACATACCCCACAGGGTAACCACCAAGGCCAGCCTCCCATATGGCTGCCCTTTCCCAGTACCAAATCCCTGGGGCTCTTTGGGTCTTGGAATCAGAGCTCCACAGGATGGCGGCGCCAGCCCGCTTCTCATTTCAGCCAGTGTTTGGAGGGTTTGGGTCTTTGCTTTTTGTAAGCACTGGGGCCTGCGTTCAGTCACGCAGATTGCTGCTTGCTATGCCGGTGTGCTACTGCTTGAGCTGGCCACCAGCACCTTTGCCACATTACTTATTTTTGAGGTGCTGGTCAGCCTGGGCTGCCACCCTCCACCCTTGTGTCCCTGTGTCACTGGGGTGGCAGGCAGGTGCCCCTGCACCCCACCGCTGGGTGAAATGGAGTCACTCCAACCTTTATGGCCTCAAACCATGATCCTCTGCTCCCTGCCTCCCAAGTAGTTAAAATTAATTGCTTATTTTTAATGAATGACGGGGTCATGGGGGAGCTCATGAGCTTGGGGTGACCAGCCAGGAGCTGCACTGTCACCAACCAGAAATCCTTCCCCCCTCACCGCTGCACCACCCCTCCCCCACCCTTCTTTCAGCTGTGAACACATCACAGCCCAGTGCTGCAGGCCCCCAAATCCACCAGTCAGGCTCCCCATGTAGGGGTGAGGGGCAGCGGGCAGGGAGGACAGCGCATGCCTGGTGTGCACCCCTAGTGCCTCATGCCTTCCCGAGGAGAGGCTGGCAATGGAGGCCCAGTCCCGAGGGCCCATTCTTCCCGCTGCCCAGAGACCAGGGGCCTTTAGCTTTCCTGCAGGCTGTGGGCGCACCTGGGGCCTACTGCAGAAGAGCAGGGAAGGCAGGAGAGCGCTGGCAGTCCTCAGAAAAACCCACTCTCTCCCAACAGGAAGTGGCTTCCAGTGAAGGGAAGAAGACTGGGCTCGAAGAAGAGCCTCGTGCAGGCAGAGAGCTGGACTGGAAGGAAGGGCTGGAGGCTCCAGCCCACCCCTAGGAAGAGCACGTGTGTACACGTGCCTTGTTAGCCACCCATAAAGGCCCCGTGTTTTATCTGTGTGGTTACGTTGAGAGCATGGGGGGGGCGGGGAAATTTCCTGCTTTTCTCAGTCCACTAGACCTCATCTTGGGGTACCCCCTTCCCCTGCACCCCACCTCCACCCCAAGTCCAGCCAGATGCTGGGACCTGGTCACACAAAGTGAACCAAAACTTCCTGCTTCCACTCAGAACATGGAAAGTGGCCTGCCCAGTTTGAGCCCCGGGGCTGCCCAAGTACCAGGTCCTCAACCACTGTCCTGCACCGCCTCCCCATGGCCAGCTGGAGAGTTACAGACACCTCGCAGGAAGCGCTCATCTGACACCAGCCACAAGAGGGCATTGTCTGTAAATGCTAGATGACCCACAGCTTGACCCAGCCCTCTGTCCCCACCACAGGGCATCCAACACTGGAGCCCAGTGACCCACCTCACAGAAAAGACCATCAAAAGATGTGAGGATCACACACAATCCCAGGGCTCCCTCAGACCCCAGCATCATGTACCTGAGGCTATGAGCAGAGGGCCAAGCTGAGCACAGGACACTCTGGAGGAGATGGAGGAGAGGGCCGAGCTGAGCACAGGACACTCTGGAGGAGATGGAGGAGAGGGCCGAGCTGAGCACAGGACACTCTGGAGGAGATGGAGGAGAGGGCCAAGATGACCACAGGACATTCTGGAAGAGATGGAGGAGAGGGCCGAGCTGAGCACAGGACACTCTGGAGGAGATGGAGGAGAGGGTCGAGTCGAGCACAGGACACTGGAGGAGATGGAGGAGAGGGCCTAGCCGAGCATAGGACACTCTGGAGGAGATGGAGGAGAGGGCCGAGCCGAGCACAGGACACTCTGGAGGAGATGGAGGAGAGGGCCGAGCCGAGCACAGGACAGTCTGGAGGAGATGGAGGAGAGGGCTGAGCTGAGCATAGGACACTGGAGGAGATGGAGGAGAGGGCTGAGCTGAGCATAGGACACTGGAGGAGATGGAGGAGAGGGCTGAGCTGAGCACAGGATACTCTGGAGGAGATGGAGAGGGCCAAGCCGAGCACAGGACACTCTGGAGGAGATGGAGGAGAGGGCCGAGCTGAGCACAGGATACTCTGGAGGAGATGGAGGAGAGGGCCGAGCCGAGCACAGGACACTCTGCAGGAGATGGAGGAGAGGGCTGAGCTAAGCACAGGACACTTTGGAGGAGATGGAGGAGAGGGCTGAGCTGAGCACAGGGTACTCTGGAGGAGATGGAGGAGAGGGCTGAGCTGAGCACAGGACACTTGGAGGACTGGGGAGTAGAGGGCCGAGCTGACCCAGGATACTCTGGAGGATGTGGAGAACCCTGACATAAGGCCCCAATGGTTGGGAAGGGAAATGGCTACTAGTGCCAATGTCTTGCTTCAAAGGGGCCACCTGCACACACCTGCCTGGCAGAGGACCCTGCAGACATAGACCACAGATCTGGAGCATCACGACTCACCTGTGTGTCCTGGCATTGCCTTTGAGCACAGCAGACCCTCCTCATCTGCCCACCCAGAAAGATGCTGTCATGGCAGCAGGTGGCTGAGGCCCACAGACCCCAGATGCAGGAAGGCGCTCAACCATCTGGAGAGGTCATCAGGCAGCCCCTCCCCACACCACCTCCACTGGACACAGCTGACAGCTGCAACCAGAAGAAAATGGACCTCAATGGGACCTGGAACACAAGACCATGGCAAAAGGATTTCAGTAAACTACATAAAATTCAATCTCGTCTGCACATTCACACTTCCAGCCCTGGTCCAGACAACAAGCGGGAACTCAAGGTCACATTGACTCCCTCCCACCTTTGGTCCTGTTCACACCAACTTCCCCCTCTGCTCCAGTTCACACTGATGATGTCCTACCCTGCTCCAGTTCACTGACACCCACCTCTGCTCCAGTTCACACTGACTTCCCCAGGCCTCTGACTTTCTCATACCTCTGCTTGAGTTCACACTGACACCCTCCTGCCTCTGCTCCAGTTCACACAGACTTCCTCATGCCTCTGATCCAGTTCACACTGACTTCCCCAGGTGTCTGCCTGAGGTCACACTGACGTACAGGTCTAATCATTATCACTGAGTACCTGATCTGCACACTGACTGTGCTGCAACCACCCAGTACTCGATTCATGCACCGACACTGGGCTTTCACAGGAATTCTATTTTTAAACCCTTGATTTATGCCTTTCAGTTGTATCTCATTCAACTGAAAATACACTGTGTGTTCAGCTGAAAAAGCAAACACTGAAACATGGCTGTGGCAATATCCTTGCCCATACCTGAATTACAGAATTAATAGGTCAGATTGCTCTGTCTGTTGAGCTGAATAGATGACAAGAAAAATCTGTAATGAAGGGAAACATGAAAAGTAAGTCTAAAGCCAATATTAGAGAAAATGACTTGTTTATCTACTAGATTTTATTTAATAACCATCTGTGTGGCTTCTGATTTAGAATCCAACTGGAGATAATAGGGCTCCACTGCAGTAAAGCCCTCAGTCCTGAGGTCAGGGGAAGGTGGGTGGAGGGGAAGAGG